CATTTTTTCTTGATCTGTCTGTGAATATGAGCATTTTGACTTGAGAAGTATCAGAGTCCAGCTGCCAAATCTTTTTTTTTAACAATTACTCAAGAGATAATGTAGTTCTCAGAGATAACAGTATCTTTTTTTGAAAAAAAGCAACCTCCAGCTCATCTGACTCACCTGTCTTAAAAGTGAAACAAAACTGATTAGATGAGTACACACAGATTGAATTAAATGCACTCTGCTTATTTAAATATTTACATCCAAAAAAAGGGTAAGGAACTTCCTAATTTTTTTTTTTAGTTAGGATAAAAAGCTAAAAGGGGAAAATGACCATGAGATTTGCCTTTCAAATACTTACTGAATACCTAACAACATGTCATTTCATTCTGTTAGCTTCCCCGCCTTTAATGAGATATTTATCTTGTAGTTTAATTCCGCTTAACAGCCAGGATCCTCCCCTAAGAGCTCACTAACTGCATTCTAGGCACCATCCTTCATTAGATGGCCCGGACACTCTCCTTCCTCATTTCCTAGCCATCATTCAACTTAATAAAATTTATTAAAGCAACTGCCAAGGTAGATGGCTTATGCTATGAAGTTGTTCACAGTCTGGCAGTATAGGCTGGATATAGCATTGCTCTATAGCACTGTCCTCCCATTGTTCATCGATTTGCTCGAGTGGGCACCAGTAACATCTCACAAGAAATTGTGAGACTTGTTACTGTTTTTGGCATATCAAATACACCAAGGGGAGTTTGCCAGGCTTTGCCCTGCAGGCGAGATACTCTCAGTAGCTTGCCGGTCTCTCTGAGAGGGGCGGAGGAATTGAACCCAGGTCACCACATGCAAGGCAAATGCCCTACCTGATGTGCTATTGCTCCAGTCCAGGCTGAATATAAAAAATTAAAAAATAAATAAAATAAAGATCATCATAAGGAAATATCTCTGCTTCAAAAACTGAGTGAAGTCTGTTAGAGCAAGAGGCGAGAGACCCAGGGAGAGTGTGGCAGTCAGAAATGCTGACTCGGCATCTCTCTACCACTCACAACTGACCATGGGCAGGTGACTGAACTCTGAAACTGGTTCACAGTAATTGATCTTAAATGATTATGGTCTGGCTTAAACTGTAAGAAAATAGGTAAAATATTATAAAATGAATCATGTTCATAAACACCTAAGAAAAGGCAGCGATGACAGTAAAGATGCTACAAACACACTCTTGGGATAGGACTGGCATGCTCGAAAGATCAGATTCTCTATGTACTAGCTATGCACACCAGGCAAATAACTTAGCTAATCTGTGTCAACTTTCTTAGCTATATCATGGGAATAAAAACAGTATTGTTCTACTTGAATTTGAATTCAGAAGAGGGAGAAACTTGATTAGTTCGTGTAAAACTCTTGATATACAAAACTCAACCCTTCTACAGTATCTTTAAGCACCTTGAATATTTAGTTTAATTATGATCTTCTTCGAGCTGGAGCAATAGCACATCGGGTAGGGCGTTTGCCTTGCATGCGGCTGACTGGGTTCAATTCCTCTGTCCCTCTTAGAGAGCCCGGCAAGCTACCGAGAGTATCCAACCTGCACAGCAAAACCTGGCAAGCTCCCCGTGATGTATTCAATATGCCAAAAACAATAACAACAAGTCTCATAATGGAGACATTACTGGTGCCGGCTCGAGCAAATCGATGAACAATGGGAGGACAGTGCTACAGTGCTACATGATCTTCATCATCATCATTAATATTTCAGGATGTAGTATTTTACATAAATTTAAAATGGGCTGGCAATGTTTAAACAAAAGTATTAATAAGAAATTACTAGCTAATGGATAACGAGTAAAAGCAGAAAACTGAATAAGAAAAGTTTGTTCGGGTGTCAGATATGCAGCTTGTTCAAAAAATAAAGCAGTAGGTTAAAAAATCTGAAAATGGTAGATGAAGTCTTAACTGCAGTTTGATGCAATGTGGAGATGTCTCTAAACACATCATTAGCAACCAATCATCTTTGAGGTTTTAGAAGGGAGAAGTCATGTGACTATAATTATAAGGATAAAGATAACAGAGGCAGGAAGTTTAGTTAGGAGTCTCTGCACTGTTTTAGCAAGAAGTTAAGAGATTCTATATCTTGAGCATTTCAAATGGAGATAGGAAAGAGGAAAGAGATTCCGAAGACTATCATCATACCACACCTATAAAACTGGAGAATTTTTTAGAGGAAGAGAAAACGAATCCAGAAAGGAAAATGAGCAGTGGATCAGAGGCAAACTGACAGTTCCCAGATCACCAGGAGCTGAGAACACAGATGATCCCTTCGCAAAGGAGAAGCTGTGCTGGGTCATGACAGAGTGAGGTCTAGAAACTTGCCAACAGAAGACAGAAAATCCAATGTAATTGAGGAATAAAACTCTCACCCAGTGTCAAGAGGAAGGAAAAACCAACAAATAGTCATGGACAGAGAGGAGAGTAATGCATAAAATTTTGATTTGCAAAAATGAGTATGTCTAACAGGAATATGAAGAACATGTAGGAAAAAGCAGTACATTTATACTCAAATCCTCCTAGAGAAGCCGACCAATTGGGGTTGAGCATGGAGTTCTTCCTCTCTGGATTCAGGAAACACACACACACACACACAGACACACACACATTATATTAAGGATCATAACAAACAAAAAAGTAATAGAATGTTTTTCTATCATACACATTGATCTGATGGTCAAAAGCGGTGTGTGCCTAAATTCTCAATTAGTGTTGAAAAATGAATGTACAAGTAAGTAGCCTTCAGAATCCCAATAATTCATGTGTCCCCATGCAAATCTTTGCATCCTAGGATTCCTTCCAAGCATCAAAAATTAGCCTCTCATACCAGTCTCCATGATTCGTCCTGCCTTAAGTGGAGACCAAACTACATTGTCCTTTGTCATCTTGCAGACAAGCAGACTAACAGAATGCATAAATGATTTTATAATTATGTTTATAAAAAAATTGTTGAGACTCCATGCTCACTCCACCTATGCTAACCTACCCCATTTCATTCCACATTCCAGGAACCATCCAAGTCATACAAGCAGGAGAGAGGGGCCAAAAAACAGTCAGACCTTAACTGTATAAACTATATCGCTGAAAGATTATGGCTTTAGATAATATTCTGAGATTTTTTAAAAAATAACATAGGTATTCTTAAAATCATATCTTATAAAATTAAGCCCTCAAAATGGTTGAAATTATCCAAATATGGGGTTGGAGCAATAGCACAGCGGGTAGGGTGTTTGCCTTGCATGCGGCCGACCCAGGTTCGATTCCCAGCATCCCGTATGGTCCCCTGAGCACCGCCAGGAGTAATTCCTGAGTGCATGAGCCAGGAGTAATCCCTGTGCATTGCCGGGTGTGATCCGAAAAAAAAAGGAAAAAAAAGAACAGAAATTATCCAAATATCTTCAAAAACCTCATCCACCATTCTATCACCGCATGTCAAGGTGAGAAAAGAAAGGCATTATGTTCCCTTTCTCTAAGGATGCCTTATTTTCAATGGCATTTACTGTTTCCCGATTCCAGACCCTGAAGAGTTGTCCAATAAGAAGCTGAGACATGCATTAACACAGGTTGTTCCTATGAAAGTCAAAGGTTTAGTTCAGCCTCGCACTATGATTCTGTTTTAATTGGCTTGGGATGGAAGCTAGTCAAGCACTGGGTGTGCAGGAGCCGGGTCGTGAGAGCCAATTTATGTTCATCTTTCTCCACACTCGTCATTCAGTGATACCATGTGGTGACCTGAAAAGAGAAACTACCTCACAGAAATCCTCAAATGCCACCAAGCAGCGCTTTTAATCCACTCAGACATCCAGCACTGTGGCACACCAGTAGAATGTTTTGCAACTTTCCCCTAAGAAATTAAGGCAGCTCCAGCATTGAGCACTGTTGCAAAGAAAGGAATATGAAATGAATTCATTTTCAGGGTTCCGATATGTCTATAATAACTTATTAGCAACTTTAGCTCCTGGTGCCATTAACATGCAACATTTTATACACTCAGTGTACTAACTACGCTGTATCTTTTTTAAAATTTTATTGAATCACCATGAGATAGAGTTATAAAGCTTTCATGTTTAAGATTCAGCCATATAATGATCGAATACCCATCCCTCCACCAGTGCACGATTTTCACCACCAATGTCTCCAGGATCTCTGCCCCCCACCCCTGCCCCCTATCCCAGTCCTCATCCTGCCTCTATGGCAGACAATTTCTCTTATACTCTCTTTCTACTTTTGGGCTTTATGCTTTCCTCGAATTTTCCCACCCCCATTCAAGCCTAACTGCCAGGGGCAGTCGCTAGATAATTTATTTTTCCATTTAGGCTGTATCTTTAAGTGTGTTCCAATTCTTTGTGTTAAACAAGGGTTTACTCATTTTGGGGAAAAAATAGTTAAATCATCTCTCTTGGAATTGCAAAATTAGAATGTTGAAGTGAATTTTAAAAACTAATCTAATCCAATTCTGAGAATTAATAAAAAATTCTATGATTATATAAAATAAGGCAATACTTGATAGTCTATGTAAATGCAGTAGACAGGATTATAATGTCTGTTTTCTGCTACCTCAACTTTCACTGGACTTGCTTTGAAAAGGAGAAAAAGAAATACAATTCTACTATGTTTTCTTAGTTATAGATCCAAGGGGACTTTCTGAGTGGTAATGAGGTCCTGACACTAGAAAGAGTTCATACTTTCAAATGAAACTGTCAACACACAGTATGAGTGAAAGACTTAAATAATGTACAAATTTCCATGCCCCACTGTTTGGGCCTGGCAAATGCTTGCATTGCAATCATTTCTCCTGGAAAAAATGCTTCCCTTCTCACAGGAAGCTGAACAATTACACAGATTAGAGTACCACTATCACAGTTCTCTAGGCACATAATCTTGAGCACAGATGAAAAAAAAAATGGTACAAAATAGTACACCACAGGTTGGTATTTTTAAGCAAAGAGGAGATATGAATAACATACCCATGCAAGGAGCAACAGATTTCTTTTCACTGTTCCACAGTATCCTAACATCCCCACAATGATAAGGAAACAGCAAACGGCAATCATGACCGGATGAACCACAGGAAAGTAAGTCAAGATGACCGCCTCCTCTACCCTAAAAGAAGAAAAGTAAAGCTGTATATAAACAAAATACAAACTTAAACACAGTTGCGTGTTGTGCTAATATTTTACTTTATCATTTAGAAAAATACCTCATTTCTTCCATTGAAGTACCCTGATTTATTATACTGTTTATGACAAGGTTTCATGCCTACAACGTTCCAACACCACAGTTACTCCAAGACTGTCCATTTCCCTCCACATTGTCTCAAGGTCTGCCTACCTCAGAACCCCCAACCCTTATTAAGTTCAGTTCTGTAAAGCAGTTCGCAGGATTCATTGTCTTTGACCATGGGTGATTATTACCTTATTGCATTTCTTTATATCCCACATATGAGCGTAATCGTTCTCCATCTGTTCCTTTCCTTCTAACTTCTCAGCATTATATTCTCCAGTTCTGCCCATGTAGTGGCAACTTGCATGATTTCTTTCTTTCATATAGCCAAGTAGTATTCCACTGAACTCATCATGTCTCAAAGCTGATGACTGTCTGCTATTTTCAAAATTGCCATACTAGCGCCAATTTGCTCGATTTTGTTTAGTTTCTTATACTAGAAATGTGGTAGCATTCTGAGTGAAACTCATTAAAAATATAAGACAGAGGCACTCTATAAGAAGTTGGTCTACTCAGAGCTCTTCAGCGCTTGAGGAAACCACATGGGACTTTTGTTAATTTCCAGGAAGATTGTTCCTCCTTACTAATATGGAACCCCATATACTGCATTTTCTTTCTCTTTGACAATAGATACTCTGATCCCTCTCCAAAATTGTGAAGAGTACTATATATGATGTCAAATTAAGAGAAAAAGGAAGAAAGAAAACTAATTTTTCTAGAAAATGATTTTGTTTATTTTTAATCAGAATCAAAGTAATAATAATTCTAAAGATTTTTAAAATTACATTTTTGTTTAATTTGGGTGCCATGGATCAAACCACCTAGCAATGTCCAAGGGCCTCCAGGCTGCACCTGGCAATCTAACTGAGCTTGACTGCATCCTATGCATGCCCCTTAATCCTTGTACTATATCTCAGAAACTTAAATTACCAATCTCAAGTTCTTACTAAACCCCACTGTATTCAAGACATTTAAAAAATGACCTCTGTTAATCCTTATGACAATTCAGAATGGTATAAACCATGGTTCTTCAACCTTTTTACAGCTGTGGATCAGCACCTGTCCTTCACACCTGTCCAAGAACTGTAGGTTTAACCAAGGTGGTAGGTTAGTGGCTTTAACCTTCTTACATCTATGATCTGTGGACAATCCCCATTCAAAGATGAAAAACATGAGGCAGGAAGAAGTTTAATAATTTTTCCCTTGAAATCTGAGAAGAAAATTGTTTTTGAGGGTTTGGTTTTCATTAGCTCAGAATCATGAACGCAAATTGGCAGTGATTTTCTTAGGGAAAGGTAACTTTGCTGTCCTTTTTCCCAAATACAACACACTTATGCCAGGAGACTGGTATCATCATACCAAAAATGATCTCTCAAGCATGGTATGGCACCTTAATGAGAATGTTAGAAAATGCAAATGTCTGCTGTGAAGGTTGCCACAGGCACCAAAATCTTTCCAAACAATTGGAGAACAGCAGTGCCATCCAAGATAGCTGAAGGCATAGTTAGAGAGAAGCATCTGAGAATCCTGAAGAAAGATTATTAGTCATGAATTATAAAGCTTACCTTGTTTTTGCAGTTAAGGTCAGAACATTATTTAAGTAGTCCCTCATCCACGCAGAGACTGCCAACACACTGATGGACATTAACTGGGAAGGGAAAATACAAATTAGTTACTAAGGATTCATGCAGCACCCTTTACAAGAATAACAACTTTCAAAAATTGAGGATTTTTATTAAATTGCCACTTTCCATAATTATTGTTTACCACCTGTTGAAATGTGCTTATTATTCTAAGTGTTTGCTATTCTCTTTTGTCCTCATTCCAGAGTCATATATAGAATGTCAACATATAGCAATAAGAAAATTAAACTGTTAGATGGTTGGTTCCAGAGCAGGGCAGGAACTGCACAAAATTAAGAAGCCACAAAAAGGGGGAAAAAAACCCTGTTTCAAAGGCCAAACTTTTATGTCCTTCTCTTCTGAAGAAAAAAAAATTACTCAATACCTCCCACTTACCTGCCACCACCAATTAAAATTACCTTCTTCAAGTGAAGAAAGAGAAAGCAACCCCAAGTGCACCTGCATCTATAACTGCTCCTCCTGGATCATTCTAACACCCCCTCTTCCTGCCAGGAGGGTGGTATTGCCCACTTTGGGCAAGAGTGAACTAAATGAACAAATGTACAATAAAAGTTAGATAGACAGACAGACAGACAGACAGACAGATAGATAGATAGATAGATAGATAGAAAGATGGATGGATGTAGGATAACAATGGTATGCCCATTCTCCTTTGCTACGGAGAGCTTAGGTTTTTCGGGTGATACCCATCACAGTGCTCCTGAAGCACCTCCATTCCTCTGTGCTTATTGGAAAGTAGCTCTAAACATTTTTAGGATAACACTGGCATGTCCTGTTTCCCTTGCCACAAGAAACTCAGGTTTATTACAGTGCTCCCGAGGCACTTCCATTCCATTGTGATTATCTGTAAACTCTTCCCTATGCTCTTCTCGCCAAACAGTTAATCAGCTTTTCCCCCTAACCAGACTGTTAACTTGTAAGGTCAGATTCCTCATAGATCTATGATTTATGTATGAGTGAAATATTGCCTTTCTCCTCTCCTTATGTCTTTTGAATAATTTACTTTAAAGCAATGTCCTTTTTGTATAGATAAAAGAAGACAGTTAATATTATGCTTTTGTAACTTGGGATTTAATTGGCTTCGAATATTATTCACTCACAAGCATCTGCTTTCTCGACTTAAAACTCAGTTGCCCTTAGTTCCAGCACCCCAAAAGCAGGGTCCTGACAAGGGACTGAATGGACCCAGGGCAAGCTGTGAGCTACCTTGGCATCCAAATGGGCCAGGCCAAAGTGCCACAATGCTCAACTATAAGTTGAGAGCTTGGTCATGGACAAATGCTGTCATGATCCAAAAAGTAACGACGAGATTAGGACCCTGCTCGGCATAGGAAAGACTAATCTGGCCTGAGCACTGTATTCTGAGATCAAGATGACCCCAGAAGAGCAATTCTATAAGCTTAATGAATCTCTTACTGTGTCCATACAAAATGATTAATATTATGAATGCTTATATGTTCGTTGGACAAGGAGATGAGAAACACACTCATAGGATTCCACTCTTGGGTGCGCCATCCTGCTGAATGGATATCTGTCCTAGAAGAAGTATCCCCTGAGGGAAAGGCTTTGTCCCTATTGATTGTGACCTATGTGAAAGCCCCAACCACTCATGCGCTGGGATTTAACTGGACTGTAAGAGTGGGCTGGGGGATCAGATCCAGAGCCAGGAGAAGGAGAAGGAGAGAGGCAGAAGGAGAATGAAGGGGTATCAAGAAGGAATGAAGTAGCATGGGCGAGGAAGAAGCAGGAGGAGAATCAGAGGAGAACGGAGATGGGAATGGAATAAACTGCAACTGACACCAACCAGTCTGGCCCTCGTTGCCTTCCTTTGTCTGCCCATCGCCATCAACCTCCCTGGGGTGGGGGAAGTGGCGTGAGACTACCAAATGCAGGTGGCATGAGAGATAGAACTGCTGCCCCCCTTTTGTGCTTACACATACAGACATATGTGTAAGCAAGAAAGCAAATACAAGTGAAGTTGTAAAAAAAAAATAGACTAACTTGAAAGGATTTCCATTGGATAACGTTAAAACAATTTGAGCCTAAAAAAAAGGGACAGTACTAACAAGAAGCAGTAGTTAGATACCAAATATGCCCAAACCTGAATGTTTAGAATTCACTAGACACCATATGAAGCAGATACAATTCACTATCCAGGAAACATATAAGGATCTAGTATGTATTCTACCTTTCCTGAGCAAGAAACAGGGACATTATGAGGGTTTCTACAGAAGAATTTCTGCCAAGACTGTCTATTGACTCTGTAACAACGATTAGTATCACTATTTAACAAACAGTTCTGAAATAATTATCTCTAGGCTAAGATCCTCAATAGCTATAGAAATGATCAAATAAGTAGCTCTCTGTTCACACATTAAAAAATCACCTCACTCACGTAGGTCTCAGAAAGATCATTGAGCCCACATATTCCCAGGTCCTATTCTTGGGACTAGAGTGTGCCACGAGACATTTGTAGAGGCTTCACCAGCGGTCTAATGTATATTCATGGCTGAATACTGCCTATGTGAAAGAGGAAGGAAGACTCTTACCCCTTCCCCCACCCCCAACTAAAGAAAGGAAAACACCAGTCAGAAGGAAAACACAAGATCCTACCATCAGTATTAACTAAGACTAAAAGAGATAACGAGACACAAGGTGCCATTTCAGGTGATGCAATTAGATGTACACAAAATACATTTGAAGTATGTGTGCCAAAAAGTCAGAGTGGGATCGAATCTAATCAAGTCTCCGACTCTCACAATTACTTTATAAAAAATATAAGGAATCGATTTAAGCTTATTAAGTGCCACCCTGGGGATGCAATCAGCAAAATTGAGAATATGAGAAATTTTACTGGACAAATAATCTGGTTTCTTCACTCTGAAAAATTTATAAGTCAAAAAAAAAAAGAAAAGAAAGGAGAACAACATAGTGCAGATTAAAAGAGATTTAAGAGTTGCCCACTGCCATATTCGCTTGACTCTTGATTCAAACAACCAGCCCCAAAGAGACATTTATGATTAAAACTATGGGAAAACTGAGAATGATTAAATATAACTGGACATGTAATAATATTAAAAACTTAAAAACTGTTATTTATTTCAGAAATGTATTGAGGTTATTTTTAAAGGATCCTTTTTTAAAAAGAGATATGGTAAAGCAATTATATCTGAAATACAGTGGTTCTTGGGTCTTATTTAATAAACCATCAAGATTCTGAGTGGTTAGGTGAATAGTGGAGTTCACAATAATAACTGCTGAAACCAGGTCAAGAATAACAGGGGTAATTATATCGTGCTTTTCACTTTTGCTTAAGTTTCAAATTTTCCATTATTTAAAACATTCTTAAAGAAAGAAACTCTCTAGAATATAATCCAATATGTTTTCCCAGGAAACTCTAAAAATAAAAGGTTAGCCCCTAAATTCTGAAGATATTTCCTATTTTGATGAACATTTTTCTAAAGTGTGCCTTAATACTTATCTTCTTACATACAATAAGATTCAACTGACTTAGTTTTTAATAATTATGCCATCTTAATGTGTGCCAAACTACCATTATATACATTTTTTTAGCTGTAGTCGATAAAGCAACGAATATACTAGGTACAATGAGTCTATAAACTCAAATCTGTGGCCCTGAAACATACTTTCAGGATAAATGCTCAGAGTATGCAGAACATAGGGAGCACTATGACCTCTTGTACAATGAAGTATGTCCACCTGCTTAGAAAAGCAACTGATGAATTCATTCTTCCAACTTTCAGCTGAAAATATTCTCTGCCTTATACTGTCTGTACTGATTGGAAATCCAAAAACAAAAGAAAGCAGATCCATACCTTTGCAGGGCTTCCTGAAGGACACTGAGAATAGATAAACCAAACAATGACAGACTGTTAAAAACACATTCATGCACAGATAAGTGAAGGAGTCTGTTCAATAATCTGTTCAAGGTCTCAGAGATTCTAGTAGCAGAGCTCTGATTCAAAATAAAAGCCTTTGGGCTTTGGAGCTCCAGATTCGCTCTGTAACGACCTTCCTCAGCCATGGGTATGATAAGTTCCACAGACAGAGAGGAGACAGCCTGGCACCCAGCTGGGGCCACTATAAAAAAATTGATTGAGGGGGTAGGTTGGGGCAGGGGCAGCGTGGAGGCTCAGGCTCCAGCCCATACGACTGAACTCTAAACCTTAGCAAAATGGGAATTCTGACATCAGTGACCAATGACAGAGACAGCTGAGAGAGTTAGGCTAATTATTCACTGTATCGCTGTATCACTGTCATCCTGTTGTTCATCAATTTGCTCGAGCGGGTGCCAGTAACATCTCCATTCGTCCTAGCCCTGAGATTTTAGCAGCCTCTTCTTACTCGCCTTTACCAATGTATTGGAGGCTCAGACAAACCCCTAAGATGTTTGGTCACGGGGCTGGAGTAGGGTAAGGCGGACACAGCGAGTAGGGTGTTTTCCTTGCACACAAACAACCCAGGTTTGGGTCCCAGCATCCCATCATCCCATATGGTCCACTGAGCACTGCCAGGAGTAATTCATGAGTGCACAGCCAGGTGATCATCGCCGGGTGTGACCCAAAAAAGAAAAAAAAAAGATGTTTGGTCACCTTACCTTGGCTTTCTGTCACCTGAACGCCAACCTTCTGCAAAGTGGGGATCTTTCTCCCTGGACGTGCCTCTTGATTTCAAATACAAAGCAAGTTATTCTCCTCTAGTGAACTCTCCCACTACAAGCCACTGACCTCACACCAGTCTACTGAATTACTCAAACTAGCCCATCCTAAATCAGTATTGCCTTGTCAGTTCATAGAAATCAAAATAAAGTGCTTCCAAATCCCTTCCTTTCCTTCTGCCTCTCCATGAACCCTACTTCTTCCCCTCTTACCCTCTAGACCCCATGGTGAGGCAAAGAATCCTTGTCTTGAGATTCTGAGTATAATAAACTATTTCCTCCAAGCCAGTTATCTCTTATTCCATTGACTATACAATAACTTAAAAT